TATATATATATATATATATACATATATATATATATGTGTGTGTGTGTGTGTGTACGCGAGTGTATGTGTAGGAAAAATAATAAATTAAAAGTATAAATGTTCCTATATATACATATTTATAATGATTCGACTGAAAATATAAATTATAGTCGTCGATCAAGTAACAATTAAAATTAACTACATTGTGGTAGCTCAAACAACATTGTCATCTTCCGACATGGCTCCTAAAAATTTGTTCATCCTCCAACCTAATTTTGTTTTACTCTTGTAATAAATATGATCATCGCAATTCAATTACAAGAAAAATGTAAGAATAAACTTACAAAAAAATAACATAAAGTATAAAAGTAAAGTACACTTATACTATCAACGTCAATATATTAACATTTACATAATTAACACAACAACTTCAATTAACAACTTTCAACATGTCAACACAACATATGAATCACACAAAAACAACTCATCAATGTCTTTAACTTAAACAATATAACAACACCTCAACTTAAAACAAAATATACAACTTATCAACACATCATGTGTACATCACAACTTTATATGTTGTCACGCATTAAACTAAGAGATCTTTATGACACAAGTGAACAATTTAATTAGTTTGACCCTATCGAATCAACTTAACAATGTGATCTTTTTTAGTTCGTTAGATCAACAATAAATTTAGATAAAAATCCATATTACAACATAGTTTTCTTGGATTTCGCTACTTAAACTAAGAAAGTTTAGTATTCTTATCAAGTTTATGACAAATTGAGTGTAAGTCTACCACGATTTTAGCATATATAACTAAGCTTATTATGAAATTAGTTTGGCAACATCCCTCAAAATATTAAGCCCTTTATAGTATTAGGTAGGGATTTTTGACCCTCAATCTTGTAACTACTCGAATTTTAATAACTAGGCTCATAGAACACCACAATACTTATAATGAGATATTCATCTTTTAAAACATTTATCCTCCAATCCTAAGTTAACCAACATAGTACAACTTCATGCCTTAAGCATTCACAATACAACTAGGCATGACAATTTAACCTGACTCAGTGAGTATCCGCTCAAACTAGCCCCAATTTGGATGGAAAAAACCCGTATTGACCGAGTTTGGATTCGAGTTCAAGTTTTTTTCGGTTGATAAAATCGAGGATGTGAGCGGGGATGGGGATGTTAATACTCACCCCGCCCTCACTCCCGCCTCCATCCTGCTTAATAATATAATTAAAAAATTATTCTTATATATATAAACCAAAATTAAAAAACTTTATATATAAAAATTTTATATTATCTTATTTTTCTTTTATTTTTAAATTTTTTTCATATTTATTAGAAATAAAAAAAAAAAGGATCCAAGAGTGGCGGTAGAGGCAGGGCGGAAAAACTCAAACTCCGTTAAAAACAAGAATAAATACCCAGATTTTACCCTAACAGATATTGGGAGTAGGGACGAAGATCATGACTATTTCAAAATAATTCTTAGAATATTAGTCCTTCAGATATATACTTTTGTTTTTCTGATATACTTTTTCAGATTCAGTATTATTAGAGTTTGATGTAGAGATAAATAGTGAGATTTGAGTTTTTTTTAATAATGATTATATATATAAATAAATAATAATTAAATTAATTTGTTTTAATTTACTAATTCAACTTGTCTTCCCTGATAGAATATGTTAACCAAGTCAATACTCATCTGAATTTATGAATATAGTTTAAAGAGTGTAACCGTGATTAGACAGAAAACAACAAACAGAAGAAAGAAAACCCGTGATTTGTTTGATCGACCAGTTTATATATGCAAAGGCGACTGTCTCTCAGGTGAATAAATTCAAACAAAAACATATTAGAAAACAAAACCAAAAATCATGGCATAATTTATTTATTTTTAAAAATGTCATAGTTTTTTTTTACACGTCCTCTAATCATAAATTGACATACAACGACTTTTGTAATAACTTTAAAAATTACGTGAAAGACAATTCTTAATTAATTGTAAAATCTGGCATAAAAAAATTAATTGCAAAATCTTATATGATTATTGATTCCTTCTTTGAAAAATTAATATATGCTTTAATAAATGGCATATTTATTAGACAACAAATTTATTTTTTAAAATCATTTATAAAAATCGAACTCTATTACAAAATAGTTAAATTAACCATTATTTTTAAAATTAAACCAAAAAGGTCATTAGCAGCTTAACACTGCTCTGTAATCAAAGTAACATATAAACTTGAGTAAAAAAAGTAATATAGCAATTTTGTTGGTTAGAGTGATAAAAGAAATTAGAAATCGGTTTTCTTTAAGCATACTACTGAATGAAAAAAAATATAAACGTTATCAGGAGAACTTTGTCCATCAATCTAATCCACCCAATTCTTCTTAAACATAATTGAAACTTAACGTGAATTGTTGAGGAATTAAAAGAACTACAGAAAATTACAATTAAATACAATCAAGACAATGAAAATGCAATATATTGGGAGGTAATAATTAAAGTAACATTTTTATGCTCTTCTCTGGACAGATTTTCAGTAAATATAATAAAAGATGTCTAAATATTACATAGAGTTCTGCATTGATTCAGAATATATGATTTATGATGAACATGAACATGAACATGAACATGAACACAAGCCCAACAAGCACACTTCACAGATCACACTATCAACCCGTGAGATTGCAGTCTCCTGCTTGGTGGAATAAATTGTAGCTTACAGTCCCAGCAACTTCCATTTTTCCTCCTACATACTCACTCCCTGCATAAAAAGACACTAATAATAGTAGCAATCATTCATATAATACAAATATATAATAAGCCCCTCTCAATTACTTATCCAAGGACATTTTCAAACTTCACAATTTCAAAAGCTTCAGATTATTTCATTTTTCTTTTTTATTTTGTCTCCTCTAAATATTTATGAAAAAAATTATTCAAATAGTCTGCTAATATGTAAAAGATATGTCTTGTTTCAATAATCAGTTTTTTTTTTCAAGAATATGTTTCACGCAATTTTCCAAAGGTAACAACAATTAATAACTAATATGTATTCGTAGACATGATTTCTGTTGGTCAAACATTATTTTAAGATAAACAAAAATTAAATTTGAGAACATCAGGTGAATTCTTGTGTCCCTGTTTCAATAATCATTTTATAAACACTTATCTCAAGTTAAAATTAATTTATTCACCTCAAATTTTATAGAAATTCTCATCTAATTTCTTTAAAAACTGAGGTGGATGATGTATAAAGAAATTTATCTAACCACAATCGTACCAAATGATGGCTTATGAAGAGACAAGAAGTAAAGGAAGAAAGCAGTAAGATGTCACATACTTGAGTTTGACAGCACCTCATTAAAGACAGACATAGGAGTCAAATTTGTTGTGGATTTGAGAGTAGCATCTGATGGGAACATGGAATATGGCTTGTTGTTAGAATCTGTGTTCAAGTAGTGCATGTCAGAGTACACTTGAGGGTTGTGGTTCTGGAAGCACAACTTTTGAGTCCCTCCAGAAGAAGTTGTTATGTTAAGTTGGGACTGAAAATCCTCAGGTTTTGTCTTCTTATCCTTAGAGTCAACCTCAGTGTCCACTTCTGATTCAGTGTTGGTAGGAGCCACATTTTGCAGTTTTCTTTTGGATCGAGCACGCCTATTCTGAAACCAATTGTACACATTTGTTTCAGAAATTTGGCCATGCTGGCCCAGTTCAGCAGTTATCTCCTTTATTTTTTCCTTGCTTGGAGTTCCATTCCCCTGGTCAAATATTCTTTCAAGAATCTGAAGCTGCACAGGTGTAGGTGTCCACCTTTGTCTCGATGTTATTTTGTGACCACCAGATGCCATCAATGGATCACAGTATATGTTTCCCAATCTAACCCCTGATCAACAAAACATCAGAGAATGCTGGATCTTAATAAACAAATCTCCTTTTTTTTTTTTAATATATGCCAATCTGAAGAGTATATTTAATTTCACAAGGTTCAGAAATGTTTGCTATTTAATCAATTATCAATTTATCACTATGTATAGCACACTAAAGCTGTCAAAGCAAAATGGAAGGCAAAAATCAACTATGATTAGCTTATTATTTGGTATTTAGAGATATCCTCAGTTTCAAAATAATTGTCACTTATCTATATAAAGTATAATGAGAAAATGCTATTGAAATAAAAAAAAAATACAATTAAACAATTAATCCAAGTGTTATTAGACTCATTATCATAAGTAATGTCTCGAATTTAATTATTGTGGATGAAAAAAATATGCTAAGAAAAGAAAGTCTATTAAAAATGATTAGTTAGATTTTTTTGATAAAAATTAATAATCAATGAAATGAATAAATATTTTATATTATTAACATGATTATTAAAAAAACAAATTTTTAATTCTTTAAAGTGAAGTATATAATATAAATAATATTATATCTTCTTAATTATTGGTTATGATTACAAATTTGAAATCCAATGTGCCTTGTATACAGGGGAAAAAGGTATTGTTGATATTTTGCCGTGTCGTTTTCTTATTTGTAGAAACAGGCTGGCTTAAATAGTTGAAGAAAAAAAAACACAAAAAAGAGACAAATTGATAGGTTGGTACTAGATAGTGTGAATGCGATGAAACATGAGTTAGATAAATGTAAGTGACAAAAATGGTAAAGAGAAGTTGAAGAGTTAATCAGTGAAGGCATTGATTTAAGAAATGTTATTATAAGAGAGCCAACAATTAAAGAAATAAAAGAAGAAGGAAGAAGATGAACCTGCAAGATCTTGTTGAGCAGAGAGTGTTCTGTGCATTTCAATAAGTTGGTCACAAATGGTGGCATAAACAGCAATTTGCTTCCTCAGAGTTTCCAACTGCTCATCGGTCATGACCTTGACATACATGAGTTCACCATTGGCATCAGTACTACTCTGCTGCCACCTCTGCAACTGTTTCTGCAATTCCATCTCTGATTGAGAATGATGATGTTGTTGATGAATATGATAAGAGAGAGAGAGAGGGGAAAAGAAGTCAGCAAAGGTTGTCAGAAAAGCGAGAAACAGACAAAAGACACAAACATTTTAAACGAGAAAACTTGATCCTCTTTAACGCTGTGCCACATGTGACTCCTTCCTTCTTATATTATATTATTATTATTTCAACATTCAACAAATACAAATTTATTTATTAATACTTTTATTATTATTATTATATCACATTGTTAATTATTCATATTAATTTATTGAAATACATCTGGAGTTTAGATAATATATATGATTTTATAAGTTCTAATTTTAACATAATCATTTGCATAAAAAATTAATATTAGTAGTTATATTAATTATTTAATTTTTTTATCTCTTAACATCTCTCTAAGTGTAGACAGTTTTTTTATTTATTTATAGTAATATAATTCTTAAAAATATTTTTTTTATAAGAATTAACTAGGCATTATTGAAATTGTTTTTTTAAAATCAAAATTATGTTCTTAATTATGTGCACGTAAAAATAATATTAATAAACTTGGGACGGCATTTGTATTTTTTTTTTATTCAATCCGAATAGCTATATCATTTGGAAACCTCACGTGGATTATCAGATTTGTCGAAATTTAATTTATTTTGATTTTAACTCAGCACATTTTTGTTTTAAAATTTAAATCTAAAAATTAAAAATGAAAATGAAAAATCACTTAAAATTCGCCTAATTGAATGTTTCTTTTCTTTTGATGATAGTTATAGTTATTGGTTGATCATATATATGGTAATATGGTATACAGTACACCTTATAAATATGATATAATTAGTTAAGTTTTTTTCGTTTTTATTAATTAAGACTTGAAATTAAATCTGAATTTTTTTTTATATATTTTATATTCTTTTGTGAAGACTTATACTAAGAACTAAAATCGATAATCTATAATCCCATTAAATTTCTTTAAAAAAATTTGTTTTTGTTGAGTGTTATTTTAATTCAATTTTCATATATCTAGCATTCTTCCATAAATATTTAAGGTTTAGGACATGAGATTAAATAAATAATTATTTAATATTTTTTAATCAAATAAGAGTTTATTTATAACTTTGACTATAAATTTTATTGAAATAAATTAAAAATATATTTTTCATTAAATTTATTAAAATAAGTTAAAATGAATAAAAAAAAGTAATAAATAGTTTTTTTTATACTATTAATTCAAAAAAATTAATTAAAAAACAAACACCCAATCCAAATATTCCAACAGTTTAATTAACATGTATTAATGTATCATAGTTTTTTACAATATTTTTGGAATGATTTTTTACATAATCAATCGATAATTAAACTGCAATGTAAAATCCCTTTGCATAAAATATAATTATATTTATATTAGAAAGTCTTTGTTTAAAGTTAAATCGTGAAATTCACTCAATGTTTGAGTGGCAGTTGTTAACTTGTTATGTCTATTGAGAGTTGAGACCCACCACCGCAACTTCCTCCCCAATCCCCATATCACCATTCGTTTATTCTCCAGATTAAGAAAAAAAAATGTTAATTAATATTTCACTATTTATTAAAAATATTTAACTCTTAATTTTATCCAAATATATTTTAAAGCTTAATCATTAGTTTTATTCTGTTAAATAATGTGACTTAAGAACTAAAACATGTACTTTTATAAAATCCGATATTTAATGAAAATTATAAAAACTAAAATTAAAATGAATTAATTTTCAACCTAGAGTTAATGTATTCACACTTTCAATTTAAAATGATTCGTGCAGAATCACGGCGCAAAATATGGCATATCATCCTATTTTATCTTTTGATCTATTTTTATAAACTATTAACCCTAAGTGCTAACAACAAGAGGGTCCATAGCTCAGTGGTAGAGCATTTGACTGCAGATCAAGAGGTCACCGGTTCGAACCCGGTTGGGCCCTCTCTGGTGTTTCCTTTTTCCGAATATATATTCTTAAACGAAAATGACATATTTGAATAATTCTATCTTATTTAATTTTTTTCTATCTCTCCTTGTCTGTTAATGTTATATCATGTTCATGATTGTCACATCTTTTACTTCTCTAATTTTTCATCATGTGTATCTGATGATCATTTTTCTTTTTAACTTATTCATTTACGTTGTTTGTACACGGATTGATGAACCTTTCATAATTACACGAGATTCTTCTACATTCTCCACCTTAGCACCCGGTCTGATTTTCTGTTTTGTGTAAAATGTTAATCATTATACAAATATAGTGGAACAAGCAACACAAATATAATCAGAATCTTAAGAAACAAAGTACACAACTACCATATCAATAATGAAATTACATATACTTTATATTTATAAATCAAAGTTATTTTCTTAATGTATTATAAGCAATATTTTTTTTATTTTTAATATTATTCTTACTTTTCAATCCTAATTTACTTTTAGCATTATATTTTTATTTTTATAATATTATAATTTACTTAAACACTTATAATATACTTTTAATATAATACCTTTGATATCTTTACATTTTAGTTTATTATTTTACATTATAATATTTTCTTTAATATAACAGTGATTTTGTCTATAAACATAAAAATAATATATTATACACATCTTACTAAACCATATTCTTAAAATAAAAAAAAGGTATGATATTAGTAAATTAAAAAGTAAAAAACAATAAAATCACTGTTCTTAATATATATATATATATATATA